CTTGCAGGATGCCATTGAGCAGCTGACGTTGAAGACGCCTCAGCCCGCGGTGCTTGCCGAGGTGGCAGCACAGACCCAGGCCAGCCGTAGTGTGGGCCTGTTTCCTTGATCTTCAGGGATGTCCAGGGCATGGTGCGAAAGAAGGAGATCTTGCGCCAAGAGTTTTTTTTGGGTTGGTAGTGCAAACGGATGTGTAAGGCTCGCCTTAATGGGTCCTAAATCTTCTGGCCTCCCTACTCCCAGCTCGGCCCGTCATCCTACGCCGGTGGGGGGCATGATCCATGGTTGTATTCGCTAGCCGCTGCCCACACCTGCATGCCGTGGGGCGGCAGCCTTATTTGAGTAGGAACATTAGCCTAGCGCTCTTCTTGAAATGAGTCATGGAGCCTTTCCTTTTTGGGAGGGGCTAGGGCTCACCGAGGGGTCAGTGGTTCTTTTTCGCTGTGGAATGTTAGAAGTCCGCCATCAGCTACGTTTTCATGTCTGGGCTTTGAAGAGATTCGCAAGACCTCGTGCACAGGATGCTGTCCAACAGCTCCCACAGCTGGAGTGAGGCCGCCATGGGCTTCGAAATGTGGCAGACTGCAGAGCTTTGCAGTGCCGGGCGAAGCTGGCATGTACATACTGACGGTGATTGATCTCCACGAAAGCCGAGCAGCTTCAGCGATTTGCTGCAGAGGAGACAAGATACCAACTTGTAGCGACTTGTAGTTTCAGCGGATGTTGGTTCTGAGCCACCGGCCGCTGGTTTTGAGTTTTGACTGGCTTGTACTTTAAGGCCCGAGAGCCGCAACGCTCCCACAGCTCGGCTTCTCAGGCATTTTTCCAGACAAGTGGTCATGTCGACCACTACACGGAGTGTGTCACGGGTCTCCGAAGACGAAGATATAGGTCCCCGAATCCACGGACCACCTGCTGAGATACGTCTGCAGGGACCCATGGAATGACTGCGCACTTTATCAGCCACGAGTCGCTCTACCCGACTCTACCTGCATTTTGTGCAGGTCTGAGTAATCGAGGTTCGTGTCGAACAGGGCAGATGCGCCAGCAGTGTGCGGAGCTTGAAGAGCTCCGTCGCAATCATTCGCAATCGTCTTGACCTCGTTGCAGAAATTCTGCGCAGTGTCGGCTTCTGATACTGTATCCAACAGACAATGTGTCGCCGCCATGATCTGCTGCGCTGGCAGCAAGCGAGGGTGCACAGCAGTAAAAACTGCCTGAAGGTGCGGTTTGCACTCGAAACTCTGCAAGAAGGCCAAGGGTCCGACAGAGCCGTTAGCTTTGTGGTCAAGCGGAGCTAGATCACACATGATCATGTGCAGGAGGGTGCTTCATTTGCAAGTTTTTTGACACCTTTACACATGTGTTGACCCTAGCAATCGAATGCAATTTGAGCAGGGGTTGTTCCGCCACAAGAGGCATTGTACCGCTGTCTTAGATGCTTAGGTCAGTTGCAGCCTGCTCTATGTGGCTCCAGCCCCAGCAAAACCAGACGGCACGGGACCAACATAGTGTTTCTTTCTCTCCGTCTCTCTTTGTGCCCTTTGTCGTGCATCACTTGTGTTTAATGTGCATCAGTCAGCCATTCCTGGCCTCCCTTGCCCCAAAGGCTGCGGCGCTTTTCCAGCAAGTGGATGTTGTCAAGCCACGCCACAGCAGGGTCGTGAACTCTGAGCAGCAGCCTCGTTCGTCTGCACATCCTACTTTTCTCACAGGTGGACACCACACGTGGCTGAATGGCCTTACCACAGGCTGTCGCAGCCGGTGCCCGGTGGCCAATGGATCGAACGACACACAACCTAGATACATTCCACACGCATGATTCATTCAAGGTTCCTTTGCACCCTTACAGACATGTAGGTCGCACGCCATCCAGCACGAACTTTAGACTTGAGCCAGTCCTGATGCAGTAGTTTTGCCGCCATGCTGCGGTTGCTCTGCACTGCACGATCCCGGGCGAGGTTGCAGAAGGCTGGCACGTCTGATAGCACCAAACTCGTGCAGATCAGGCGGTGTAATCGGTGAAGCTTTCCGTCGTGACAGTCCTTCTCTGTGCGAAGCTGTTGAGAGCACGGTGTCATGCTTGCTCATTTCATGTTGGAACTTTTCGGCTCTTCAGCTTTCCGTCAAGTTTTTTCTTCTTTAGGCGGCCCACGAAAGTGAGAGCCAGGAATGCCGAACCTCGTTGTACAGACCGTTGACTTGATCATTCAGTTGGGCAGCGCTTTGCTCTTGGGATTCCTGGCATTCCGCTTGGGGTGGGTGACTGAAAAGCAAGGCCTGGCTTTTCTAACCGGGCGAATCGGCCTCCCACTGCTTGCCTTTAAGGCAGTGGCAACTGCAGACCTAGATGACATGGAGCCGGGAGTTATTCTCAGCTGCACTATCGGCAAGTTGTTTGTGTATGTGCTGGCTTGTGGAGCAAGTTGGATTGGCTGCCGAAAAGAGTCACGAGACAAGGCGCTAATTTCTGCTGCGATTTTCAGTTTTCATGTGACCGCAGCCAATGACTTCGTTTTCGGTTTTCCAATTATCCAGGCCTTCTATCCGGACAAGGGGGTCACAAATTTGGTTGCCAACGTCGTCGTCCAAAATGTATTTTTCCAAGTATGCAGCTTGTCAATGCTTGGTGTTGGTGCTGCTCAGCAGCGACAGAGCGAGGCCTCGTTCACCGCTCCAGGCCCTGCACATGCACACTCCAATCGGAGGCAGTGTGGTCGAATATTGAAGCAATTGGCACAGGACCCACTCTTGTGCGCTATCGGCTTCGCAGTGATCTACAAGGCTACGGCCAGGTTGATTGCACCACAGGCCCCAGGATCGTCCATCGTCCCAATTCCACTCGGCGAATTAATAGATTTCTTCACAAAACCGTTTTCTACGACGGCGCTGATGCTGACGGGGGCAAATCTAGCAACTGCCCTTGACAGGACGGAAGGACATAAGCCACAGGGTGGCAGCATGTACCTGCTTGGCGTTCCCATCGCCTTGGTGATAGCCAAAAACATAATCTGCCCGTACGTGACTCTTGCAGCATCCGAACTCATTCTGCCGGGGGGTGGGAACAACAAGTGGCACAATTTTGCCTTCCTGTACGGCTCCATCCCCACTTCATCAGCGCCGATGCTCGTGGCAATGCGAGTTGGTCAGCATATCGAAGTAGTTGCAGCAGCTGTGTCAATTGGCATCATGGTTGCGATTCCTATGCTCGTAGCCTCCGCTGTGCTTCTTGAAAGTGATACAGTTGAGGGCTCACGTGTGGAGACTGAGCTGTACAACAGCGAGGTCACGGCACTTGTGGTGTCTCTTGCCACGACAGCAGCATCGCTGCTGCTGTTCCAACTTCATGACAAGACATCCACATGGCGGCAGTTTCCACATGTCATCCTGCCGTGCTATGCTATGGCCTGCTTCGTGCATGCCGGAGCCAACCTGTTCACTGCATTAGCTTTACCAGTGTGCGACCTAAACTCTGCCCGGATCATGGCCTACTGCGAGATACAAAGCTACATTATGGTAGCATCCATGGCAATTTGCAGCCTTGAGAACTTTCGGTCGATGAGGCTTGCCAAGTACTTGCTGTGGTTTGCCATTTTGGCACCTCTGCCGTGCTGTCTCTGGGTACCCACGCCAACCATCAACAAAAGCTGCATCCTTGGAGTGGGTGAGTCCAGTGCCTTTAACTTGACAGTCAGTGCTGTAAACTTCCTTGTGCTTTCAGCATTGCTTAGTGCAGGGGTGTTCTTTCGCAGAAGGGATCCCGGTACTTCAGACACTCGGCTAGATACTTTCCAGACTGACGCCGGCCTGGAAGTGCCGCTATCTCCGGAGTCCCCTCCACCAGAGTCGCCAGTGGACGCGAACACTTTGGTGGAATTTGAGCCAGACTCCCCCGTTTGCTACGACCACCGAAGTCCGTCCGCCCGCCGAGCAGACTTCGGGGACAGCACCCTCCAGGATGTGGCGGCGAGTGCGACTGATGTGGCGATGAGACCATTGCCGAGCTCTTTCGTGGCACGGATGTCCAGCTTCCCGAGGCAGAGCACTTTGGAATCTGTACGAAGCATGCCTGGGAGCTTGGACAATGGCAACCTGAAGTTTGCAGTGCTCGTGATTGCTTCTAAAGCACTAATGGTGTTGGCCATATCTACAGTTGTGCGATCCGTTCTGCTCATCCAGAGGCACATGCACCAGGACCTGCACCAACCGTGGGTGGGAGAATCCTTAGCATAAAGGGCCAGTATTGAGCCTGTAAGATACTGTAAGCGCTCCGTGAGGACCTTGAATCCTCGTTAGTGCTCGCGCTGCTCGTGGAGCTGTTGTTCGAACACACCGAGGGGTTCTTCCTGCTTTTGGTGATCCTCTGCTTTTTCGACACATCATGCTCGAAGATGGCACGGAAATTGCGGCATCGACGCCAGATCACTTTGGCCCGGCTGCCCATCCGGAGTCGTCAAGTCTCCGAAGTCGTTCCTAGGTGAATGCCGCATCTGCGCGAATTGCTTCATGTGTTTCACTGAAAGAAAAGCAGCTGCTGCCGTTTTCGCTTGTCATCGCTTGCCCATGGGTCTGCACGATACGGTGGATGTGCTTCGTAAAGAAGATTGAGCCACAAGGCCACGAGGCCCCAATAGTAAGCAATGCAGCAATGCAGCACGTCATCAGGACGAGGAAGCTACCTAGGAGGACATCAACAGCAGCAGTGCCCCACCCGAAAGGCAATGCATGTAGTTCTTGGTCACAAACAGGCATTGTCCGCGTTGCGAGAGTCCAAACGAGGGCTTAGACATTCCATCTCTCCCTCTCTCTCCCTCTCTCTCCCTCTCTCCCTCCCTGCATTTCGAGATCTGATTGAAAAGTTATGCAGGTTGTGTGGTGCAGCGATCCTCGGAGCTCTCAAAGCTGGAGCCAGAGGGTGGCCCGGAGCGCTTACGCCTCAGTCTCGGAGGTGGGCCGAGCGATGCAGCTACTGGCTGAAAGGGGGCTTCAGCCAAATGATTGCAGGCGCCGGCCGAGACTTTGAAACCTTCAGAAGGTTCAGAGGAGGCCATGCGAAGCACGCAGTGTGAAGCTTGCAGCAGATCTGCTGACTTTGCTTGTCTTTGAGGCGGTATCGGTGTGCTTTTCTAGGTTGGCATAATCCGACAGGTTGACATCCCCCCAGAAGTGCTGGAGCTTTTCGACACCCTGCGTGGCGAAGCCATACGGCGCTTCTTGACATGCATTCAGAATGCAAGCATCGGCAACCTAGCTTCGGCAAGAAGAAGCACATGCCGAGGCTTGGATGATTTTCAACCTATTCATTTGTTTTCTCTCTGTTGGGCCTATTCCACAGCTCCTCGGCCAAGAGCAAAAGCCGACGGCGTCTGAGTCTGAGATCTCTGAGTCATCATCGTAGGTGAATCTGAGGCTCGCCTGCTGGATGACGACATGCGCTGCCAGGTCCTGTCGAAGCCAGAGCTGTCAGAGAGTGCCCTTTTCTTGACATTTTTGGCAGGTGACGCGCGCAGCCCTGCGTTTGGGCAGGAGTCGCGATGCGGAGAAGAGCCAGGAGGCGACAGCGAAGTTTAAATCCCGCCACGGGCAAGAAGGCAGACTTTTCCAGCCAAGGCCAGTGGAGGCCTGGAGGTGGCCGAGCCGAAAACTGGTTTGGAGAGCCCGTGCATCCTGAAGGAAGCGTGCACATTGCATTCAGAGTGCGAGTCCGAGTGACAGCCTTTCTCCCTTGCAGGAAGGTGAGCATTGGATGGCCCTCTTCAAGCCAGCACATTGGCAGGTCTCCGTGGATGCCAAGGAGGCCTAGAGAGAGAATCCCAGGGGTTAGACTGGCGTTCAGGACGAGAGGTCTGCGCACTTCTCATGTCTGCAGGCAACGAAAGCGGCATCAGCCACACCTTTCGAGGATGACGACGAGGGCGACGAAGAGCCGGCTGAAAGGCCGCGAGTCCAGGCCGACAATATCCGACTGCCTGGGAGCATCTGGGAGCTGTGCGAAAGAGAGGCGTCGCAAAGCTTGACCGCAGGCTTGGATCCAGAAGCACATGTCGCAAAGGTATCCGCTCCTGGAAGCAGCGAGAGTTTCAGAATGACCAAGAGTCTTCATGGCAAATCGGAGGGCCGTTCAGTCCCGCTGCAGCTCAGGATTTGCACGGATCCTCAAGAGGCTTATGGCCTCTTGCCTCGTGGTGGCAATGTCAGAGTACTCAGACCGGCGTTTTTCGTCTGTTTCTCGACTTCGGGAAGTTCGGAGGCATCGACTGGATGCACAGACCAGCGGCGTGCTGGTCTGCGCGAAGAGCTATGTTGGCCGCGGCCACAGCATCTCCAAGGCAGTGCAGGTGTAGTAGACTGAGCAGTGGAAGAGCATTTATAGGGTTGCCTTCGCTCTCAGGTGCGTATTGGTTGCGACTGCAGTGGTGCCAATACTCCGTGGACAAGGAGCCCAGGACCCAGCCTGTCTTCAGATGCAGAGGACGTGCCTGTCTATGCCTCGGCATTCGAGGTATGTTTGCATTGTTCATGGATGGGTCGACCATGCAGTGCGCGAGATCCACAAGCGTATTCGTCGCTCAGCTTGAGAGGCAAGCCGCCAGTCACACGAGGTCACATGTTTCTGGTCACAGTGTGTGTCTTGCAGCTTCGGGACCTCTGGCTTCGGACGCACGCTGGGGTATGCCAGATTTTGCCGCAGTTTTGGCTCGCGCACCGATGTGCGCTTCGCCTCGTGGTCGCCATGGCCGGCAAGCCGCAGGCATTGGAGAGAGAGAGGAGAGAGGGAGGCTTTTGAAGGCGTTTGAGAATCTTCTGTCGAGGTGAGCCTGGCCTTGGTGGGGCCCACGGGATGCGGGAAGACCACGCTGCTGGCGCGGCTCTGCTCCGAGCTCGGTGCCTTTCCCGCGGAGGAGCACCAGCAGTGCCAGGCCGGGGCCCCGAGGGCCGAACCCGCAGAGAACTGAGTCGTGGTTTCCTAGCCTGGAATACGGGTATGTCGTGCACAGGAGGGGACCGGGATCGCCAAAGTGCACGTACATGCGATTGCTCCTCCTTTCCGGCAGGACTTGGCTTGGGAGCTGGGACGCCCATCCCACCGGCATGGTTGGATGCTTGACCGCCTGCCTTGTGAGAGCAGCTCTGCTGCAACTGGCTCCTTCCGTGCTCTTAGCGCAGTCCTGCCTGGGCCTGGGAGGAGAGGAGGGCACGACCGTGATGCCAACCCTCCAGATGTTCAAATCGCAATCTTGCGTATACTCCGCTTTCGACACCCCTGGCAGAGAGGACTGTTCTGCGAACGTTGCGAGACTTTCTAATGCAGATGACAGACCTGCCCGCAGGAATTTGTTAGCAATTTTCTCAGCATCACGTCTTTGGGTGATGCCGCGGTGATGGTGGTGTCAGCTACCTGGCGGCAGACGCCTTGGATGCGAACTTCATAGACACGGTGCTTTTTTGCACTAGGCCGCAAGCGGCGAGTGGGAGATGGCCGTGGAAAGCGGAAGGGCCAGAGAGCTGGCTCTGGATTGTTTCACAATGGGCATCAAGACGCTCGGCTCGGCTCAGTGAGGGTCTTCCCTAAGTCGCTCTCGGCCAGAGGCATTCGTCAAAGTACTGTTAGCTGAGGCATGTCCTAGTTTGGGTCACAAAGATGGACGATTTTACCGTGCAGTTCGAAGCTGCGAGATTCGAAGAGATCAAAAAGGCAGTGACAGCCTACTTGAAAGATGTGGGGTACAAACAGAAGGACGGCATTGCGTGAGCTTTGTGCTGCAGTGTTGGCGAAGGCTGTAGCACCGAGAAAACACGACTGCCGCAGGATGTGCCAGTGATCCCGGTCGCAGGCCTCTCAGGTGAGAATTTGCTCAGCAAGTCAGCCGAGATGCCTTGGTACGCCGGTCACACTGCCATCGAGTCGCTTGATGCCCTCGGCAGCATGAACAGGCCTGCCGAGACCCGGCTCAGAACATGTGTGATTATGGCATATTAGGGTACGCTTCTTTATTTTCGCAGAGCTGTGTGGATGCAGCTGAGGAGAAGCCATTGAGACTACCTGTGCTGAAAGTCCATGACCAGCCTAAGGCTGGCACCGTGGTTGTAGGACGCATAGAGACGGGCTCAATTCGAATAGGAATCAAGGTGATTTTCTCACCCAGCGGCCTTGTTTCAGAGGTCCGATCGATTTACAAAGCCGGTGAACCGGTGAATGACGCCAGGGAAGGCGATATTGTGAGCGTAGGTCTGGGTTCCGGTGACGAGTCTGAACAGCTGCGGCCCTCGGACATCCGAAGGGGCATGGTTATCTCAGGCAGTACAGATCCAGCTGCTGATGCAGAAACCTTCCTGGCGCAGGTGGTTGTTCTCAACCATCCTGGGGTGATCCGCGCGGGATACTGCCCTGCAATTGCCGTGCACACAGCACAGGTTCCCTGCGAGTTCGAGGAGCTACTGAGCAAAGTGGACAGGAAGACGGGCAAAGATGCTGAGAACAACCCGACCAGTGCCAAGACTGGCGACGTTGTCACAGTGAAGATGCGCCCTCGAGCACTTGTTTGTGTGGAGACATTCAGTGCCTACCCTCCGCTCGGCCGGTTCGCGATCCGCGATCACGGTCGAACAGTTGGAGTGGGAGTTATCAAGGAGGTCAACAAAAGACCTGTGCCAAAACCGAGGAGTCATAATCAGTATTTTGATCCGTCTGACGATACGTGACAGATCCCAGTACCGCGCCAGACGCACAAAAATTGTCAATGGGAAGCGCGCCCTCTTGGTGCTTGTGGCAGGCCAGCGAGCTTGGTTGCGTTGTCTTGGCACTCATCTATCCAAGGAGTTGAGAAGCGGAAGGCGCCGAATTCGCGAAGAACCATCTCTACGCACTGCACTGTCGGCAGCAACGGCAAGCCTTCATTCACGGCTGCTTTGCTTCAAACGGTTGTAGTTGGACCCGTCGCTCGTATCTCTTCGAAACAGTTGTGTGTAGCTGCACTGCAGGTTGCAGGCGGAGTAGCAGAGTTCTGTAGAGCTTTGTAAGGAGCTTCTTACTCTGGCACACCTGGAGCGACCTGGTGCGCCAGAGGACACCCCGGTTCGGCCTGCGGTGCCAGCATTTCCTGTGCTGTTCTGAGGAGCGCTATAGCCTTGTGGCATTGAAGCTCCACACCGGACGTACTCACCAGATACGCGCCCCAGCTATGAATCGCCCGGTGTCCAAAGCAGCATGTTCACCTCAGTGTTCTCTGACCCTAGGTGTGCATATGCAATCTGTCGGCCACCCGTTGATAACTGATGCTCGGCATCCCATGTGAAGTGCTGAGACGTGAGACTTGTCAGACGTGCGGAGCATCGCGGAGACGCCGAGGATGCCAAGTACGCAGAGGACAGGCTGAACGAAGACAAGACCTGGTGCCCTCGGAATTTCCTTCACACCTACCGCTTAGCGCTGCCTGGTGAAAAATGGGCTTTAAAACCGGCACAGGCCCCTTTCGCTCCCAGCCTTGCTTTGTGCACTTCAGGTTCCGGGACGTGCCCAGCGAGGAAGATCTTGAATCCTCCGGCTACGGCCCCGTGCAGGACATCTCATTGTGCCATGTCAGGTTTAAAGTGCTCAACACTAAACCGGAGCAGATTGAAACGGCAGATGGTAGACTGCAGCCGGCAAGCAGCAGAAGCAATGACTAAACGGACCAAGTCTTCCCATGGAGTGATGGAGGGTGCAGTTGGTGCAGAGCATAACACTGTCCCTCGCACTGGACCTTTTCAGTTCCTTTGCTTGAGCACCAAGACGGACACATGGCTGCTTGCAAAGTGTGGTCCAGTTCATGTCCCTGTTGCCTATGCGCTTTCCCCTTTCATCTCGGCAGGAGCTGATTTCCCCGCTCCCGTCAGATTTGAGGGAAGCACTGGCTCTTCTGAAGCCAGTAGATGCGGCATCGCAGCCGAATTACGAGGCCAACGCATGTAGACACTCCGGGACGACTGTATCATGGCTGCGCCAGGACTGGCTCAGCGGAGATGCTGGGCGACTCCGGTCCTTCGAGCGGCTAGAATCGCTAGAAGCTTCAGAATGACATCAGCACCTGCAAAAAATGCATCGCGTTTTCCTGCTTGCAGCATCACGCATTGCCGAGACTCTCTCACATTGCCCGAGCAAGAGGCGATATCTGGTGGCGCAGGGCTTCAAGGTGTGGCGGCATCGTGAAATCTTCATCGTCTCTTCTATGCCATGTTCCGAACATCTGCAGCTTGCATCCGATGGAGCAAGGGCCCGGCCGCACCATGCTTTGCGACGCTCCGGGCCGCAGTGCAGCGCGCACAAGAACATTGGCCACAGCCACACCCTCGACCTCGTGCAGAGCCGCTAACATCTAACAGCGATCTGTTGGTGCAGGATTGAGATCTGTTCCTGCAGGCCCGCCGGCACCTGGGAAGGCGAGGCACCTCTCTGGGTGGTGCAGCCGCCAGAATCCCGGCCACGGCAGGGTCGCGTCTGCGCAAGGTTTGAAAGCAATGTCTGGAGGTCTGATTTAGAAGGAGCTGCCGAATTCCTTTCATCGGTGCGTGGAATGGCAAGGTCGCTGTGCAGGACCGGGTTGAATCCGCAAGGAGTGGTTAGTGACGGTTAGTCTTGTTCTTGAGTCCAAGGCGACAGACCGAGGCCCTGCAGGCCGTGATGGACCGAGCCGAGCAGATCGTGAGTCGGGGGCTTCGCTTGCTGTGCTGAACTAGAGTCTTTTCTGGCACGAAAAGTTCTTTGTAGATGTCTTTGAGCTCAATGTCTTGGAGGAGAGGGGCGCTTGGAGTCCCGGCCCAAGAAGCGCCGCCGGCCCCGCGACCGCCGCGACGAGCGTCCAGGTGGGCGCTGCTTCCCTGACGTGTCTGACATGCCCGCTCATATGCAATGCAGACTTCTCGGCGAGGCTCCGCGGCGGGCGATGCTCACGCAGTGTGTCCGAGGAAGAAAAGGGTCGTGGCAGTCACCGGCAAACACATGTAAATCACACTGGCTGTGAAGGGTTTGCATCACAACGATCGCGGGCTGCCCAAAACCAGGCTCAAGCTTGTCGAAATTCAAGGCCGGAGCATGCAGATCCACACTGCTAAGTTCGGCTTTCCCTGTAGCCCTTTTTTTCCTAGTGTTAGTAGGATGTAAGCCAAGATTTAAAGGCATCTGCAGCATCTCGAGGAAAGCGGAGCCGTCGTGACTTCCGAGCTGCCATGGCCGAGGATGCTCGAAGCTTCGAGGCGGTCTGACGGATCTCGGGGTCCCCGCATTTCTATGCCCTGCTTGGCCAGATTTTCCTGCGTTCAGAGCTGGATGCTCTACAGACCAGGCATGGCCGCAGCAGCTAGCATGACTCAAGCCAGAACTCGGCTGAGGATGAAGCGACTCGGCAGGTTACTGGCAAAGTTCTCTACAACACGGAGAGCGATTGAAATTGACCCGGCGAAGGCACTGCCAAGTTCCTTTGCGTCCTACCTGTTTCAGAGACTTCGGTTTTGATGTGCTTGGATCACCTGAGGCCCCTGGCTGGCTGGGTCCATCAGAGGCCCAAACATGGCGAGTTGCAAAGGTGTCTTTTGCTGCGACTTTCCGCTTTGAGGTCTGCGGTCGCAGTTATGAAGTCGCGGAGCAAAATGGAGAATCGGTTGAAGAGCTGCAGCCACAGGCGCCCGGTGCATGGCACAGTCTGAGCCGAGCGGGAGCGGGGAGGATTTCTTGATAGACATCGCCTGGCCAGGGGGGAATTCGGCTGCAGCATGAGAGCACGCCTCTTGCGGAGGCGATGGGTCAGGCAGGGATAAGTTTGCCGCCAAGCTCCAGCCGGCACAAACGGCGGAAGACGGTAGCGAGTACCAAGACTCCTGAAGAAGACTGCATGGCCAGGTCATGCCAGATGAGACAGCACTGTTTCGCACTAGTCAGCTCCTCGCAAGCTCCGCGGCATGCAACTTAGGATATGGGCAAGGCTGGAGGAAAGCTGGGCTGAGCGCTGGGAGGTGTCTTCCGTCCTTCCCTCCCCCCAGCTCCGTGCTTGCTCCGTCCTGCTTCCAAGAATCTCAGGTTTAAAAACATATGACTGCCTCAGCCTGAGCTTTCCAGAGATTGCGCTGGATTCAAGCATGTTCAAGCGTGAGCGCCGAGGCCTTGAGGGCGATGGCCACCAGTCTGAATCCGGATCTCAAGTGTTTTTATCACCGACATGTTTCCTAAGCTGGCATCTGGAATGCAGCTAAGCTAAGGCGACGCGGACTTCTGTAGCTGAGCAGCATGCAGTCCGGACAGTCTTGCAACGTGAATGGGATATCTCAGACGCACGTAAAGTGGTTAAGCCAGTCAAGACAACGCCGAGGCACGCAAATGGCGCAGGCCGATGTCGAAAGAGAGTCCTTATGGTCTTAGGCAGAGCACGCCCTAAGCAAGCACGCCTCAGGGTATGGTGCAACTGCAACCGTATTACCGCATGTGCCGAACGGGTTGTTGCTTTGCTTCCAGGAGACGGCAAGCTGCGGAAGCTGCCCGGAAGACGATGTCGTTCAGAATCCCAAAGCTCTGGTCTCGTGGGTCATCCGGCAAGCAGGGGGAGTCCAGCCTTGGGCTTTGTTCCAACCCTTTCTAAGAAGGAGGCAGAGTTTTTTTCGTCATTGTGCTTAGGAACATCGTTCTGTTGAGATTGGGGCAGCAGTTTCTACTTTCGGGGCTTGGATCGGTTCCCCAATCATTGTTCGCAGCAGTGCTGCGGCCTTTGTTTAAGATGCTCCACTCGTTGCTGGCTATTATCGGGTTACATATAGGGCTATAAAAATCGCATCTTCCTTTGCCTGTCACGGGTGAATGCCTCGACCTGGACAGGCCTTGTTTTTGCGGCGAGCAGCCATTGGGTGTGGCATTTTTTGTGGTTGTTGGTGTCGGGTTCAAGCACGTGCTTGAGTTGAGAATGGCTTTCGCATGGCACTGTCGATTTCTGAGTTGGACCTATCGCCTGAACCCGGTGCCTGCTTCAGCGAGTGTGCGACCCGAATATTGAAGCCTACGTGAGCCTCGGGCAACACAGCGGAATAGCCATTCCCATCTCAGGCGATGCTTTTGGACCAAATGGGCATGTACTACGACCTGAACTTTGGGGTCGCGCTGGCCAGCAACAGCATCTTGTGTCTGGGCTCCGTAAGGTCCCGCAAAAGAACAGCAGAGGCAGCACCACTAGCACCATAATCACCTGAAAGATGATGATGCAGAGAGTCCCATGCTGAGCAGCTGCGTAAGGCAGACGAAGCCCAGGGCTGAGAGCGAATTGGACATGAACATCCGGCCTTTGCCTCAGCAAGTGGTGTTTTTGTTCCTGCTTCTGTTCCAGCTAAAACAAGACGTGCTTGTCGTTGCTTGTCGGCCCCAGAGCGGCTCAAGACTCAGCAGAGCGTACGACTAGCACTGGCAGCTGAGACAACTTCTGCATCTCAATTCTACTGCTACATGCGGCCAAAGCTTTGCACCCATCCCATGTTAACTGCTAGAGTGCTAGAGCCAATCGCTGACAGCGTTGTAGATTTCGGCGAATAGGCCTTCTGCTCCAGACAGCCGGGAAGTGGCAACAATGCGTCCAAGCAAAGATCCCGCAATGATGCGCGTGGGAGTGAACCTGGGATCTGCGGAAGAGGAGGAGAAGGCGGCCAAGGTTGCAGTCACCATGCATGAAACGATGGTGCGGAGCTTGAACCTGGTGCGGCTCGCAACTTGGTCTGCAGTGACTTCTCCAGATAAGTTTGCGGGAAGGGCGATCCATGTCAAGCACAAGAGCCGACAGACATGTCAGACACGAACCCTTCTGCGAGACAGGTGATCTTGGGCTCCCCGGTGGTTGTTCAAAGCTGTTTCATACACTCGGTCGACCTCCCCAGCTGGCTTTTTCGACTTTTCGACCCTTGGCTAGGTGTTCATCTTCCGCGCAACCGCGATCTTTTGCCGTGAAACAGTTAACTAGTTGTCTGGGAAAGCAGCCCAAAGAGTCCCCAACGATAGAGGCGATCTATGCTGTGGTTGGTGTCGTTGGCACCCTAGTCGCTCCCGAAGCTCAGATGCAGCCTGGAAGTGACTGAGAAGTTGGACCAGGATGGTCTTGGAGACGGTTTTGCCCCTTGCATCTCAGGAGCAAGCTTTCTACGCTCTCGGCTTGAAGGAGCTCCGATGGGCTTTCCTTCGTCTGCAACTCGATTACAGCAGCAAAGTGATATGACCTGCTTTTCCCCAGCTGTACGCGATGCTCGGACCCCCATTGTAGACTTTTTGCTGCATTCAGTGGCAGACAGGCTCTAGAGCGAAGTCAAAGTTCAGCCAGAGAAATGCCAATTGCGAAGGTATCCCGAGGCTGCTTCCTGGAACGGGAATCACCTCCCAGACGGTGATTCGTGCTCCAAGTCGCTGCTTGGAGGTGGGGACTTGCAGCATTGGAAATTTGTCTCGCCTCTGGCCGCAGGTGATGATGCTCTGGGAGAGCTGGGTCGTGCCAGCGTTTTGGTGAAGTGGAGCGGCAGTGAGAAGTTCCTGATGTTGGACTCTCAGGGCTGGGCGATTCCCGGTCCGAAGTCTCTGGCCACTGTAGTTGCCCTGCAGCCCGTTTACATCAAGGGCCAGCAGCTGGCCGACACATATACGCTTCAGCTCCGCTCAAAGAGCTCGAAGTGGGATGACCACTGGCTTGCATGCACACCTGTGAATCATTTGCGCGTTGGAGGTTGGCTTCGGGCATTCCGTTCCCAGCAGGAAGCATGCCCCTTTAAGCTTGTACAAGACAGCTCCTGCCCAATGGGCACGTGCAAGATGCTAAGCACATGGCCGACGCCGCCGCAGCAGGAACCTATCTTCACCTTGGCCAAGGATGGGGGCTGCATGCCAGCTGGGTTTTACCTCGTTGATCAACTCCATGGCGGTCGAAGCTACGTCGGCCAAGCTCCGGATGTTGAAGCCTCCCATTTCGAGCTGATCCTGGCCGGCGAGTGAGACGTAGCAGGCAACGGCCCCGCACCGCAACAGAAAAAAGCGGAGAAGAGTTCTCAGGTTCACAAGGACAGCCCGAGTACTCAGCTTGCCGAGGTCGGCCTGGACGACGCCACTGAGCAAGAAGGGGTCCATGGCCACTCAGCGGTCCTGGAGACTTCTGTTTTGGCACCATCAACTTTCCGCAAATTCCTGAGCAAATCTGACTGCTTGATTTTATGAGGTTCTCAAGCAGGTGTCTGCGAAGCACACTCTCTCCGTGTCTTGAAGCAGATGATAGAGAGAGAGCGAGAGAGCAGAGTCGACTGCGGCAGGGAAGGATTTGCGTGTGCTTGGATTTTCAGGCTACCCAGGAGGAAGACGATGATCAGAACCGGACCGGCATGTCAACCAGCAGAGGTAGAGGTCTGGGCCAGTCGATTTCTCTGCAGCCTGATCTCTTTGCCCGAGCAAGAAACGGCACTGGTAGGCTGTTTGGATCGGCTCGTCTTGCACCCCTACAAAGCCGGACGTGTATCCTGGGGATTGCTCACGCTCATAGCTGCTAGGATGCGTCTTGAGTTTCAAGTGTCGGGCTGATGTTCGAGGATTTGGCTGTACCGTGACTGCGGAGCTTGCCATGCATACTGTTATCACTTTTGATGAAGAGTGCCTGAGGTTGTAGCATGGGAGGCAGTGGCAATGCCATTATTGCTGTTTGACCTTGGTGACTTGAGCGTCGCGTTGAGTAGCGGCCTGCCTGCACCACACACCAGTGCCATGGCTCTCTGTCTGGAGGTCGCATCAATTCTCGTGTGTGCTTCCGAATGATCTGAATCTGAGGTATCACCAGTGCAATGCTGGCCTTCTGGATTGCCCGGTGCTCACTTGTTACTGAAGCTTCCTGAAGCGCCTTCTTTCCGGCCCCGCTCAATTTGGGGAAGCCTCTTCCAGCAGCCAAGGTGGACATCTGCATCAACTGCATCACTGGCGTCGACCGGGGAGGCCTACATAGAGCAGCCTCAGTGGCTGAGTATTAGTGTAGCCGAGGGTTCAGAGAGCGAGCCGCTTTTCTCGCAGCTAGCAGCGGCTACATAGTAATCCCATGAGATCCCTGGAAGTCCACACTCTCCAGGTGTGATTGATTTGAACCTCAAAACCGCATTCCGAGAGTCGCTGGCCTCAGACAGATTCAGCATCTGCAGAAGCTGACCAATCACCAAGGGCAATTTGATAATCTCGTGTTAAAGCTCAGGTACGCAACATCCTGGATGATTCCCGACCTAATGCCGCCTTGCAGCAGTTCTCGCTTAAAGCGGCAAATCGCCTTGAAAGGCGACGCGTAGTGAAGGTCACAGAACACCGTGGCCTGCTCGGAAATCTTGCCTGAGGATTGTGGCTCTCGACGTCGTGGTGCTAGTAGCCGTTTCAGAAGACTCAGGCGCACCTTTGTAAAGAGCAGAATGCGGCGACTAGTTTTTTCTGCAAAACATGCGATGCAGGGGAGACACCCACTTCTGCCGGCAGTCAGGGAATGAGGCGCGGCTTGGAGTACGCTGTGACAAGCCTGGGGTACTTATTGGGTCGCTCGGGAAGGGCGAAGCGTAGTCTGTAGAGCATGGGCTGCATGAAGAGGCTTGCACGGGCTTTGCGGCTTCTGCGTCTGATCCGGTTGCTGCGAGCCCCACAGCTGCACCAGCATGACACGTACAATCTCAGTATTTTTCAGGATGTCGCAGTATCAGCGCATCACGGCTGACAGAAGTGCAATCTCAGATTTACAAAGCATCCTCGGCGGCCAATTTCCTGGTGGACTACATTCGATCCCCCTCCTTGCTGATCGCCACTCGAATCCTTATGATTGGAAGCTCGTTGCCTCCAAATGCTGTATCAATTCGGGAGTGAAAGTTGGAAGCAATTCCGAGGCTTCGAAAATCGCATGGAGCCTTGGCTGTGAGCTCCAACTGCGTGGATTTCAGTTAAGAGGCAAGTGTGGCCTACGACTGCAATCATTCCTGGCGAGACAGGACTCTGCTGACAATTCTGTTCATCAACCACTATATCGCATGTGGCTGGCTGCTCGTCAAACGCCAGCTGATGTTGTGAGTTGTAACTAAAACGACCAAAACGGAATGCTGATCAGCATTCACGGAAGAATGTGTGCCGTGGTAAGTCGAGCAGTAGGCGCTTCTCGCCGTCAGACAAGTGCTTCCCTTCGGGTCCTGCGTTGAGCTGAAGGTGTGCAATTGCCTATTTCAATGTGGATGCTTTGACGCCGTGGTCCTGGTTCATCTCAAATGCAGGATCAGATCGCCTCCAATCTCAGCTTGGCTTGCTCTGAGTGCTGCAAGGTGGATCTTGGCATCCAACCTGGAGCAAGCAACATTCACAGAATTGCCCCAAGACTGCAAGAGAGGCGCCCACACAAGATTGTCTTGCTTTGCACCCCGCCTAGGTACTTGTCGTCACTTCATTGGAGCCTGACGCAGTGCCTTGGGGCGCACGGATCTGAGCCATGGCAGGTTAGTGCTCTCGCATTCGATCGATCAGGTTTTCACCAGCTACGAACAACATCGCCCCACAGAACGTCCTTGAGCGGAGTGTGGCAGCTTTCGTGACCTGGCCCGAACTTGAGGAATCCATCACGCGCAGGATTCCGTTGCGAGGTCCTGATTCTGCCTTCCTAACACTTGCTGAGGTGGTGATCTTTGCACTTTTGGTTTTCTCCTCTTTCGTGAGCAGCTCCCTGGCTTCCAGCCCCATAGGCCATAGGCCTCTAACTGACCGCGCTGCCTTTGCAAGTAGCAGGGCATGCTTGCGGCCAAGCATGCTGGGACATTGGAGCAAGTGATGTTCCTGAGAATATGCGTGAAGGGCAGTGAAGTTGCGACAAGTACCCCGAGGCACGCAGGGGCCATCAGAGCAAGCATAGTCATAGTCTTAGTTCATTAGCCGTAATCGTAAAGATCGGAGGACACAGGAATGGAGCCTCTGATGCAGCCTAGCTGGAAAGAGAGGTGAGCACTAGGCAATCTCCAGTCATCAAAGGCATCACGAATCACATGAACCAGCTGCGCATCACCAACGCGCGCATGATCGAGGAGGATATGCAGCTGAGGCCGGGGCACTGTCAGTCGCAACACTTTGCCTTATGTTAGCAGTTGGAGGAACTTTTTCGAAAAGCGAATGATCTCCGTGGACTTGAGTGGCCGAATACAACATTTGTTCAAGAAAGGATGCCTGGCAGATATTGCGCGAACCGGCAAGAGCTGGTGAAAATCGGGCTGTGATGAGAGTTCACGCAGATGTAGGTTATTAATGTCGGTAAAGGCAAGCGTTTCTCAACCCAGCCTGAGTTTAACTCACCTCGCATGCTTTGAATACTGATCCCCAGCTTCTGTGTTCACAACGTCATGAAGCCCCAAGAGATGTTCAATGCTCAGGAAGTGGCCTCCACATGAGACGGCATCTTGATTGAACAAGTCCTTTTATGTGGCCGTGAGAGTCTTCCGTGAGTTTCCGCATGACTGCATTGCATATTTGCTGGATCACTGCTTATAACTCGACACAGCCCTCACAATCTGGGCGCTTGTGGCCTAGCTGCCGAGCTGCTTTCCACGGACATACATGTCTTCGCATTGGTCCAAGAGGGAGATTTCGTATCCGATGTCATGCCACGCTGCTATCAGCATTTAGCTTGGATTTGTTTCTTTAACATGGGGAGGTCTTCGATGTGGAGTTGTGGACTTGTGGAATACAGGCTACTTATGTAGGCATCTAGTAGTTGACAGTCTAGTCGACTGTGGTGTCTTCACGTTTCCGCCCGGTTGGTGTGCACCGCAGGGCTTGCAGCACCGCCAATGCATTGCTGAAGTGGTCCAACATGTCATGTGCACTTCGCACTGTAGGTTCTAGCTGCGTGGGCAAGAGATTCATCGCGTTTTCCATTTGCCATCTGCACAAGGCCACACATTGGAGACATTCCGTTTCTCAAGGATGGGACGCGGCATCACAACTTTTTTATGGCGTGAGCATATGATGTACACGGCATTCATGTTTCAAAATTTTATCGCTAACGCGAGGCCGCCTCGGCAACGGTAGTCGAGGCTAGGTTCGGGAGCGAAGGGACAAGCTGCATGAACACCC